CAGTCAAAACAATGTTTGGAGATAAGCGATTTGTTCTTCTTCCCATGAGAATATCCTAACACTATGATATACTAGCCAGAGTATGAATAAAAATATATAGTACTCCCATTTCATGCTTTAGGGCAGTGTTTCTCAACCGTGGCAACTTTAAGATGTCTGGACTTCAACTCCCAGAATTCCTTAGTCAGCATGCTGGCTAGAGAATTCTGGGAGTTGAAGTCCAGACATCTCAAAGTTGCCATGGTCGAGAAACACTGCTTTAGGGTATTTATTACTGAAAACACATCTTACTCAAATTGTGAATCAACCTAGCATAAATCCCAATATTGAAACTAATTAAATTAATCAACTAGACTATAAGTTATAGATTGCTTTCTAGGCCAGTTCCTTTTAAGATTGGCAATCAATGCTGTTTATTCATTCTTGATCATCTTGAATCTGAATCTTGATTAAAAATTGGGATTGTAAAATTTAAATTATTTATTTAAACCAAACTGCTTCAAAACAGAAACATAAATATAGCTTAACTATGCTAACACTCTGAGAAAGCACAATATCTACCCAGGCTACTCTCCAACAGTGAGATATGCATACTTTTTTAATAAAATCTTCTTCAAGTTGCATAAAATTATGGACAGTTTTTTTAGCAACAATGCACAAATGGTTTGTTATTGCCTCCTTTAACATATTTTTTCAATTTTCTATTGCTCTGGTATTCCCAAAATGTCTCCCATGCAAGATCCAACCTTCTTATGTTTCCAGCCCAGAGAAGAGTTAGGGTTAGGGTCCTACTGACACAATCTAAGTGTTCCTAGTAAGTATGTGTTGGATTTTGGCCTAAGTAGTGATATGTTATGAAGTAGTATCCATGTCTGCATACATGGTGCAAGCTAATTTTAAATGTTTGACTTTTACTCAGTCAGTAAGGAAAACTAATTCTAGAATTCTGTATAGTAAAATCAATCTAGCCTAAGCATTACACATGCCATTTATGATATTAAATATCCAAACTCAAATAAATAATGAATTAAGATCATATATGTTATCAATCTGAATTTTCTATATATTGAACATTGAAATGAAATACATCAAGCACATTTGGATATAACCTACCTTTATCAGTTGTTCTCCCTTTCAGTGTATTTCTGTTTTCTGACAGGGTATTCTAAGAAAAAAAATAACATAAAACATAACACTTTGACCTGGAAGAGAAAGATGTGGCTTGCTGGAGGCTGAACTATAATAGCATCTCTCATTATTAGCCACACTGGGCTAGAGCTGTTCAAAGTTCTAGTTCAGCACCAACTGGACCACACATCAATTTTAGGAATTTTTAAAACTCTAATATCTATCTAAGGAGTGTACATTATTTCTATTATTTATGGTTAGTTAGTGAAGCACATATATAGTATTTTATAACATTGGCTGGTGTGGGTCTTCCGGGCTGTGTGGCCGTGTTCTTGAAGTTTTGTTTCCTAACGTTTCGCCAGCACAGCAGGAGCACAGATAGGAGCAGTTCTCTTTTATAACATTATTTAAGTCTTAAATCACAATGGTGCTTATCTTAGAAAATAAAAGCATTTATGTGAGGAAAACAGACAATGGATCTATGTACCTTTACAGTACTAGTACAATAGCAAAATTGCCACACACTGAAAAACTTTGTGCATACCTGAAAAAAACTGTAAAAGTGTATTATTTTTATAGACAGGTAACATTACAGCCAAATCCTTCTTGACAAGTGAACTATAAGCACATACTTCACACAAAGTAATATCTGTACATTTTTTTCCTGCCGGTATCTGTAAAAATGAGCCTGAACCCTGATAAATGAAATATATTCCACAAAACTAATAATAATAATCTCTCTTATCCTTTTCCCTGTATCTTTGCTACCCTCACCTATTTGTTTCTTCTTCTTATATTCTCCTTGTTTATGGAGTTTGCTTGGTTAACCACAAGTTCTTTTGGTTACCCAAGGCTCCACAAACATTTTAGCTAAATGAGAAACAAAACTAGACCTTCAAAAATATGGTATTTTAAGACTAGTAACTAGAAGCAAATTTGTTGCCTTAGGAATACAAATCGTTTTACTAATGGGAAAAAATTGTAGAAAATGCTTTAAATTTATAGACATTTTGCAGCACAATCGTCTTCAATACTGTGAAATAAAATAATATTTTTCTGCAGGAATTGCACAACAGCATAGAATATTTCTTCACATAGGAAGAAAGCACAATACAAGATTTTTATTTTTATTTATTTTCCTTACCTGGAACAAATGTTCCTGTTTCCATTTCTTTTGTAATAAGAGAAACTGGGGAAGGGAGAATTCTGATTTCCACTTCTTCTTAGCATTCTCTTTCATTTCATAAATACCTTAGGATGTAATAGGTTAAAACAGTAAATTCGTTTAGAAAAACACATAATCTTCTACATCATGGAAGAGAGTAATAATACTATATTCAACACTTGAGAAACTAAGATTTCCCATCTCTATGTGTTGATTTCCTTTTGAAAATAAAAACAATGAAAATAGCTGTCGGTTTTACTGTGAGGAGCCGTTATGGTCACCAGAAGGTGGACCCAACAAGAGTTAACGTTGCTTCTTCCTGTCAGAAAGTCATGCTAAACATTTTGCACCTGGAAGGAGCCACTCCCAAACTCAATGTGTTCACTGATTTCAGCTACAAGAAAAAAAAGTTTATATCCATCCGTATTCCAGATTCAACAGCAGAAAAAAGTGAATAGATGCTCCTCTAAAGCAGAAACTTTCCAATCCCAAAGACACAACATACCAAGAGACAATACATATATTAATTATCATATTGAAAAAGTTGAGTAAGACTGTTGGGTGACTAGAATGGTACCTCACAATTAGTTCAACTATGATTCTCTGTTACTGAAGGTTTTCCTGAAATAAGGTTTCCCTATCCAAATTTAGCATTGGGAACTCACCACCTTTCTGTGACTTTGAAAAATTTTTGAACGCAAGGACCACTCTGCTTGCTCGGTTCTGTCAGCTCGCCCAATATTCTGCTGACAGAGAGGCAAGTTGTGTTTCTATCCAGAGAAATAAATGACACGCTTCCTTCAGCAGCTCCTTCAACTTATTCCTCTTTGATTGTTGAGATAAGCCTTTCTAGTTATATAGCCCATGAAAATCAAAATGTGATGTTCCTCAAGTCAGTAAAAGCTCTTAATAACAAGGAGCTTGCATCTCCAGCTGATTGATGGGGAAGTCAATTTGAATCAGGACAACAGCCCCTGACCCAAGTGGTTCTGAAAATGGGCTTCTCAGACCAAGAAGCTGGTATCTGTAGTGAATTGGTCTCTGCAAAACTTTCTTAAGGGACAAATTGGTCAGAACCAACCACTGTTGCAGGGAACTGATCATCGTGTCTGGAACCTCCAAAATTAAATGCACCTGGAATGACAGAAGAAACCACTGCAGCAGTCTGGCATGGAATCATGCCTAAGACTTTTGCTAAGGCTGAGAGGCTGCTTCCTGGATACCAGAATTTCCAGAATTGTGTAAAAACTGAGTAGTCTGATCGATGGTCTTGGCTTTCCAGGCTGGTGAACCTTTCCTGAACTGGCACATATTCTATAGTCTGAATGTTTTGATGTGATCAGTAATTTGTGATGTTTCTCTGATTTTCTGGATATCAGAAATGAAAGAAACTTGTCCCTCAGAATGGCCATGAATTCAAGCACATACCCCCATCTTATTAATTTTAGTGCCCACTTGTTCCTGCAGGTTCATTTTCAGGTAGTCCCAAACTCTTGAAATTGTCTACCCACCTGGAGAGATTTGACATCAATTTGATATTTTCTGCTGAGACTTGTTTCCTTTGCCTCTAATACCACTGAACTACCTACACTGCCAGTATAATTGACCCCAGTGTTAATCTCCCTGTGCACTTTTGAAGTGAAAAAATTAAGTAATGTTTCCAGGTGCTCAAAAGGAAGATGCTGGGTTTTTTTTAATACATGGAAGCCTCTTTCATTGCTGCTTTACATTTTATTCCTATTTCCATCAGCACTAGCTCAATGGACTCTTGAAATAACTTCTTGCCCACAAACAGCTTGGTTGTCAGATTACTTTTGACTGGTAAATGGTTTGTCAATGTCTAAGCCAAAACCCTGGAAAACTGCCAGTCTACTAAGATTGGGATGTAAATTGAAGACAGTGTCAAGAGTAATGTCAGAAATCAACTCCAATGTTTTAGCAAACCTAATAAAGTCTTCTTGAGCTGCTTTACAACTGAGGGCAGGTCCTTAAAGGATTCATGAGTCCAAATTATCAAGGCTCTGAAAGGAATAGAGATGCCAATAGAAGAGAATATGTGTAGTTCAGGGTTGAACTGTAAAGTCCTTGGCATTCTCTGAGCTTGGTTGTTCTCTTGCAAACATTTCATTACCCAGCAAGGTAACATCTTCAGTACTAGAATGGAATGGGGTTTGCTCTCCATTTATATACAGCACATGCCCTGCCAGTGGTGTGGGTTTCATTTTTTTCTCTCTGGTAGTTCTTTGATTAGGGCATTGTTTACTGCTTGATTGTATGTCTGGTGATAATCTTGGTGTTAATCTCTGCTTATCTGGGTGATGATCGCTGATGAGGAGGTGTTCTGGTCTTTTGTTTTCCTGTTTATCGTCTCTTTTGAATAGTGTGTAGGTGTTGTTTATCTCTATGTGCCTGTTGATGGCTGCCTCATCTGAATATCAAGCTTCCAGAAAATCCAAAAATGCAAGGGAATTCCTGGAAGCTTGGTATTCAGACAAGGCAGCCATCAACAGGCACACAGAGATATAGTTCGGTATTTAATGATACTCAATGAACCAGAATTCTATCGTTCAACCTAGTATGAACTGGTCCATTGCTGAGGATAGTGAAAGAGATCTCATTCCAAAAACTACGTACTTTTTAAATTGTGAAGCTCTACTTTAGGGTCCTTTTTAGATGATCCAGTTATTCCTGCATGCTTTCTTAAGTCCCACTCACATTTTGCTATAACATTTAAGACTGCTTCATCATCTTCATCCATTGCCAGGCATTTTTTTGACATAGAGTTAATATATTCAACTCTTGGAAGGACAGACCTGCAGTAAGAAAATATGACATAATTTAATTCAAAGTAACACCCTTTGAAGTCAGATATGAGCTCAGTTAGCTGATCTGAAGTCTAATGAACAAAATTATCAAGAAGCTAGAGGTACTATCTATGCTAAAATTATAGTTTTACAGCTTAAAAAAGAAGGTAAGTAAAATGGAACATGACAATAGAGGTATGTATAATATGAATAAATGGATAATGGAGAGTCTTTCTTGCTCCATAACACCAGAACTCAGGACATTAAATAAAGCTGAAACTGAGAAATCTGAGGGAGATTTTTACACACATCCCGTAAAAAGCAATGGGATGTTCTTCCACAATTATGTATTTATTTATTTTTAACAATAATCTGCATTAAAAAAAACTAAACAAACATACAAGGCTGTAAGGAAAAACCATAGAGAAAAGTCATTAACAAAAGAATCAGTAATTTCATAATTATTAATTCATAATTTCCATACATCATCTCTCAGTTGATGAGATTAAGACTATTGTGGTTAACAAATGAATATAATCCATCCAGATTTGATAAAACAGTGATTCTGGCCTCTGAAGATACATTATTCTATTTAATTTTTATAATGATTAAAAAAGCTTTATTAATCCACAAAATTTACAACATTGAGCAATAATTAGTTTTACCACCAAAAGCAAGTAAACCACCAGCTCTTTACTTTTAAACATAGCACTGGATTACAGCTCCAGCTTGGGAGAGCATTTGACTCATTTTGTAATAATAGTAATTTCACTAAAAAATTTCCTCCAAAAGGGGGCTAATTTATCACATGACCACTCTATATAGGAAAATTATTGTTTTTGTATACATTTTTATAATGGTTGTATAATATATATGTTAATCTAACCAGAGTTGAGGACCACCAATGTGATGCTTCAAATGCAGTTCTTGGACAGAGGCAGAAAGGAAACCTCCTGATTTCCATAATGATTACCATTTTGATTCCACTATTGGGTATCCCAAGTGTCATTTATAACAACAGAGAGATCCCCTGTCTCAATTTGCAATCTTTTTTGTATTTTGTATAATTTTATTTTTTATTTTTTAAAATTTAAATTTTAA